CATTGGGCATTATCTCAAACGCGCAACGCGCGTAACATAAACTAGTTGAAATAGATAAGACTACAAATGCTCAGACAGTCTGTGATCAAATAAAGCCATTTTCTCATTCAAAATGCAAGTGAATAAGATCTACGAGCTAAAAAATGGAGTGACATTTTGATAAATAAATCAAAACATTCTGTTACCACATAGTATGCATTGATTTGAATGTGATGATGCATTTGGATGGGTTAAAAATGTGCATTTCGTTGAGCATCAAAATTAGGGATGGACCCGGGTCGGGCCTGTTCCGGTTCCGGGCCGGGCCCGGCCGGGCTTTTTTAGACAGATGGGCCCGGAACCGGCCCGGGGTTATACCGGGTCCGGTCCGGGTCGGGCCTACCCGGCCGGGTAGCGGGCCGGTTCGGGCCGGGCCGGGCTATTTTTTTTTTAATTTTTGTTTAAATTAAGATGTAGTACAAATGGACATAAAAAAGTTAAAATATATTTATTTGAAATATGTAGTACAGTTGAAAATTCAGCAAAAATTAAAACATGAAATACACTTTATAATAAATAAGAATCAATCGGAATTTCCGCCATCTTCGGTTGTTTCTTCCATAAAGTGGCGGGTGGGTTCAATGCTAACTTCTTGAGTTCTACGTTTGGCCTTCAACCAATCGTGGAAGCAAACAAGCGTCTCAAGAGAGTTTGCGCTCAATCTCGTTCTATAATCCGTTAGGACGTTGCCGGCCGCACTAAACTCTTGTTCCACAGCAACTGTTGATACCGGCATTGCTAGCACTTGCTTAGCCATCTTTGATAAGATCGGGAACATTCTCTCTTTTTCCTTCCACCACTTGAGAACGTCAAAGTCATCCCCTTCTTCATACTCAACAGGAAATGTTAGATACAAAGAAAGCTCGTTGATCGAGCTTTGTTCATTAACCGGATTTGATTTACTTTTTTTCATAAGATTGTCAAATGCAGATTTGAAAATTGATTTTCCTTTAGATGAAGAAGATGTTCGTGGCGGGGGAGGGGGTGCGTTACCATATTGTGCATGAAACTCATTAAATAATTGATATAATAAATTACTAACCTCTTGGAATTGTTGTTTAGGGTCTATGGCCTTGTCGTTGTACATAGGCAATGGACCAAAAAAAGAAGCATAATAGTAATCTAAACATTGCTCCAAAGAAGCAAGTCTAAAACGAGGATCAAGAATAAAAGCAATACTATATATATGCGGAATATAGGAATAATATTTTAAAAACTTTTGTTTCATGAAGTCACAAAAATAACTAACGTAAGTGGCATCAGAAAATTCAAAAATATAACAAATATTAAATTCGAAGTACAATTAAACTAGTGAATTTGAAATACAAATCTAACAATTCCAAATACAATTAAATTTGAAGTATGCAACTACAATGTAATAAAATTAACTAGAATTAAATTAAATTAACAAGTTTAACAAATAATTAAATTAACAAGTTAAGAAATAATTAAATTCGAACAATTAAATTAACTAGAATGTAACAATGCAATAAAATTCGAACTATTTGTTAACAAATAATAAATAAATAAAAATTTAACAAGTTTAACTAGTTTTATTATAACATTCGAACAACTTTAATATAATTAACAATTAACTAGTTTTATAGGAGAATAATAAATGTAACAATTAACTAGTTTGATAGGAGAATAATAAATGTAACAATGCAATAAAATTTATACGAGAATAATAAATGTAACAATTAACTAGTTTTATAGGAGAATAAGAAATGTAACAATTAACTAGTATTATAGGAGAATATAAAATGTAACAATTAACTAGTTTTATAGGAGAATAATAAATGCAACAATTAACTAGTTTTATATGAGAATAATAAATGTAACAATTAACTAGTTTGCCAAGTAAACAATTAATTTCGAATTATTGTCTAACAATTTTTAATGTAACTATTTCAAATAAACTAACAACTAACAATTAACTACTTTTATAGCAATGAACTAATACTAAAATGATAAGTAAAACAATTAACTACTTTTATATTAATAATAAATGTATGAGTGTGTAAACAAAATTAATGGGAGTGTGAGAGTGTATAAGCAATTGGATAAGTAGATAATAAGTGTATAAGTAGATATACTTAATATATATATTTATAAGTAGATAATAAGTAGATTAACTAGTAATATATAATATTATGTTTATAGTATATATAATATAAGTATATTACTATAAGATGAGTAATACACTTATATATAATACTTTAATATATATATAAGTATTTATTAAGTATATTTAATATGTAAATATAAGTAAACAAAATTAATTAGAGTGTGAGAGTGTATAAGCAATTGGATAAGTAGATAATAAATGTATAAGTAGATATACTTAATATATATTTATAAGTAGATAATAAGTAGATTAACTAGTAATATATAATATTATGTTTATAGTATATATAATATAAGTATATTACTATAAGATGAGTAATACACTTATATATAATACTTTAATATATATAAGTATATATTAAGTATATGTAATATGTAAATATAAGTAAATAAATTAGAGATAATTATATATGTAATATGTAAATATAAGTAAATAAATATAAGTAACAATAATATAATAATTAGATATTAATATAAGTAGATAATAAGTAGATAATAAATTTTATAAATATAATATATGTAGTTATATATTTGAGAAGATGAAGATGGAGAAGATTAGTAGAGAATAGAGATTAGAGAGTAGGAATATTTGGATAAGATGTGTAGTAAGTTGTATAGAAAAAATGGAGTATTTATAGATTTTTAGTACCCCCACCCCCCACCCCCCAACCCACCCCGGGACCCCCTGCCAGGCTCCCAACGGCTATAGAGCCGTTTGGGTTCAAAAGCAACGACCATAAGGCCTGTTTGGCTGCAAAACATTTTTTTTAAATTGTAGCCGTTAGGCCCGGACCGGGCCAGAACCGGCCGGGCCGGGCCGCCTTTTGGATGAACCGTACCCGAACCGCCCTACCCCCCGGGCCGGGTCAAAGCCCGAACTGGTTTTTTGGTACCCGGGCCGGGCCAGGCCCGCACAGTAGCGGGCCGGGCCGGTTCCGGCCCGGCCCGGCCCGGTTGAGTCCACCCCTAATCAAAATGCATTAAGAATGGTAAATGTCCATCCAAGCACATTCATTTGCACTTTGCATGGGAACACTCTTTTATTTAAACTTTACCCTATATATGTTCGTAGAGGCAAGATCACATGCAAACTACTCCTCCCATGCAAACTACAAACTACTCTCGTGCGTCCAGATTAGCCAAATCAAGAGTTGTCCGTATATCATCCACCGTATGAGTATGTGTGGTGAAATACATGGAATTAAAAATGGTTGGACCACTACTATGTACGGCTAATAAGGAAGGATACCAAAGTAAATTAGCATTTGAACAAAAAGAGACAGTCACTTTAAAATAGTAAATAAAATAGATTCCCAATCTCATCATTCATGTCATCCTACCACTAATATTGCAACCGTCCAAGTATAGGGAATTTAAATGTGGACGGTTGTGGAGTGTCTTCATTTGAATATATTTAAATAAGAAAAATTGCAAATGTTCTCCATGCATGGAATCCATTTTATGCATTCGTAAATTGCAAAATAATTTTTCTAGTTTAATTAATAATTAATTATAATTAAGTCATTAAATAAATTACTTGAATTTTGGAATTAATCACTTCCTAATTAACCTTTCACATTTAGCATTGCATATTAAGGTTATGGAATGTGCATAATATATTGATAGTGAGTGCATAGTTTATATTTGAACTTCTAACATACGAAGTATTAGGTTTGTAAGAAATCAGCACACGTAGAAATACATGCATATTAAGGTAGAAGTGCATGCATATTAAGATTCCTCGATGTGCATATTAACGTTACTGGATGTGCATATTAAGGTTAGATGATGTGCATTATATATTTATAATATCTCCATCACTGATATTAGAACTACACAGTGATAAATATGTCCATATTGCATTTAGATAGTTTATATGTTGCATTTAATCATTGTGACATGTGCATTTAGAATTGAAGTTCATATATTACATTTTAATAAGGTTATATGTGCAATTTAGGATTTCACATTGCATCTTATGGCAAGTGCACATTGCACCTTATAGCTATGTGCTCTATCATTGTGACATGTGCATTTAGAATTGAAGTTCATATATTACATTTTAGTAAGATTATATGTACAATTTAGGAGTTCACGCTGCATCTTATCGCAATGACCTCTGGATTGTATAATCAAGAAACATGCATACTAAATTAATGAGGTCACAAAATGCATAATGTTTCTGGTACATCAAGGTAGAAAATTTTAACATTTTTTTTTTTGCATAAATACGAAATTGAAGAACTTCATGAAGACGAAAATAAAAAATGTTAAGTATGATAAATCTCATCATGGAAAAGAATGTTTTTTTTTTTCGGTGTGAACACTTGGATTCAAATAAAAAACGTCAAAACCAGTTGAATCTCTTAATGAATTAAAAAAATCCGACTAGCAAAATTTCATGGGGAAGGAGATGAAGTTATAACCAAAGCAATGAATAGTTACTTATGTTGCAAGAAGTTCTCTATTAATGGTGACTATGGAGATGGAGTAGATAGAAATGGAGAAGGAGATGGAGACACAATCGGAGGTGGAGATGCAGACATAGACAGAAAGGTAGATGAAGATGGTGAAGCTTGATTCTGGAGAGAAACCTAATCGAACGTGCAAAGGAAATAATCGGATGAGATAACTTATGTGAGGAACGTGATTTTGTTTCCAAATACAAAATAAACCTAAAAGACTAATAAGCCCTCAATTGCCCAATCTAATTAAGATGGAAGACACAGATGATCAACATAAAATAAAGGGTTGAGATTAGTTTGTAGGTTAGCATGTTAAGTCTAGTTTGTATTTGATCTCTAATCTATGTTCATATATGTGTATATGTATTGTAGAGGCCACAAAATCTGCTCAATCAACATGTAAAATACGGGGTAATAAATACACTAAAGCCAGAATGGTAGCTAATAAAAAAAGTAACTCTCATCTTTGGTTCTTCATAAAAATTTATAAGCTCATGTTTCAGCTTCTGCATGATACACGAAACAAAAATAACCGTTTTAAAGTTGGGAAATTTACAGGTATGCCTGACTGATGAACAAAACAATTTCTTTTCTTGATGATGGGGAATGCATGTGTGCTATACAAACTGAAGTGCCAACTTTGATCATCACACGCTATATCCCAAGTACCAAAAACAGGGTTATTATCACTTCTTCATGTTAATGGTAGTTTTTCAACCAGCCCATAATGGAAGTTTTTCTTGTACAAAACATTGTAGGCAAAACAGCTATTCAACAACTCAAGAAATGCTTAGGGTTCACTGTTCTTCCGGGAACCTACGGATGCAAAGGGAAAAGAGAGAGGATATAATGGTAAGTATCTAGGGTAGACAAACACACAATCATTTATGTTGGTGCAAACATTTTTACACATTTTAGTCTTCTAACTGTGAGAATAGCAATTTTGGTATCCATCCTTGAATTTTCAACCCTAAGTCCTTTACAATTGTGACAAATACAATTTTGGTATCCGTCTTTGAATTTTAACTTTTACTCCTCTTGTTATCGTGACAATGACACTTTTGGTCTTCCAACTGTTGCGATAATGACACTAGCGATCCTCCGACTATTGTGACAAAATAAAAAACGAGTACCAAAAATGTATTCCATGCTTATATGAGGATGTTAAAAATGGTACCAAAAGAGTCATTACCACAAATCCACCATAGTTAGAAGACTAAAACTCCATCCCACTGGTACAATGTGTGTGTGTGTGTGTGTGTGTATAACAGGAATTTAAGATTTCAAGTGAGCACATATGACATACTAATTTGATGATGGTTGTTGAGAGTATGATTTGGCGTGAAGTCTATCCCAAAGGCATTTTGAAGCTCATTGTCCCACATATTAGGTACCTGAAGATTACAAATATTATTTGAATCTATGGATGGCAGCAGGTTCAGGGTACCCGTGCCAATTCAGAAAACAGAGACCCATACCGAAACCTGACTAATTTATATCCGAACCCACCCCAACCGCATTTCATATTACCAATAAGTACCCGAACTCAACCCAAAAAACCTTTTAAAAAATCAATCAATAAATATTCTATATAGACTTGCATCGATTTAAATTATTATGTACTACCGCATATTAATATATAAATATGAATAAATACATTAAAGAGCTACCTGAGGGGTAGGACACTTATAGCCTACGCTTGTCACAGCTTTCTCAGAGTTGAGGGTTCTGAGCAGGGCTTCAAGGGAATTTCCATAGCCGGGGAGACCCCCTTGAAGCAATGGAGGTTGTGGGGGATTTAATGGTGTGTAAGGATCAGTAATATCGCGTGGGAAAGTTAGTAAAGATGGACTGGATTGGGACTGGATGATCTGCAGTTTAAAGTAATAAGTGATTCATTTATACACATACTCAAAAATGAAAAAAAAAACTATATGAGAAGGGATTCACATTACATCCTTTGCAAGTAACCCGTCTATGTTGAAATCCATTTGTGGAACTACCGTTGAAAGCTTCATGGATAAGAACTGAGTAAAAAAACTCAATCACATTAGACTCATGGTAAGAACTTCTTTGCTAGCACATACATATATAGACACACAAACAAATCACGAAGCAGCACATCAATCAATCATGCAAGTCATTATTTTACATCAAGCATGTAAAATTGATACCTCCAACCCTCTATCTACCCAAAAGGTCATTTTTGTGACGATGACTTTTTTTAAGAGGCAAAAGGAACAAAATATACTCCGTATTAGTAGTATTACTTCTGTTTAGTTTTGAACTTCGTGAAAAACCTACTAGTGTGAGTAGAAAATAAAATGGACTGCTACTAATTTCTCATTTTACTTGCCATAGTTACATTCCATTAGTTAACTGCATCGTCTTTTATTGTCAATAACACTCTCCTATAGTTAAATAGCCAAGTCACTTCTTGCTTTATACTCCCTCCGTCCCGAAAAGGTTTGCCAAATTTCCTTTTTTGGATGTCCCAAAAAGATTTGCCATTTCCATTTAAAGTAAGGAATATGTGGCTAACGTTAATTCTCTCTCCTCTGCCCAAATTTCAACCACACAGTTTTTACTTTATTAATCCACGTGAAAGTCAAAGTTGGCGAACCTTTTCGGGACGGAGGGAGTAGAATTTTTGATGTAATCTGTTACTCCCTCCATTCCTCTAACTTTGTCCCGTTTTACCTTTTTTGTCCATCCCATTAAGTTTGTCCCATACCATATTTGGTAATATTTGGGTGGCTACAATTCATTTTTACTTTATTCACACTAAAATCAATTTAATACCAACCACACATTTCTACTATTTCTTAAAAATCACACCCTTTGTCCCAAACATAGGGGGGCGGAGGTAGTACTGTATAAGTTTAATTTGCTAATATAAAATTGAATATCATATAAAATGGAACAAATGGATTAAATTGTAATTTGAATCCATTTAACAGACTCACAAAATCGACTTACTTCATTGTTTTGCTATAAAGTTGAAAATAATGTCTCATATTGGGCGAAAGAAGCAGAAGAGAATGGTACATAAGTACAAATGTTTAAACAAACAGAATAAAGAATTGTTGATTAGGTTTGCATACCTCGACCTGTCGCTGTAGGGATTGCACATAATTAATGATTTCATCCAGCATTACTGCTTTGCCTGTCACCTGCATCAAGACAAGTTTTCACTAACCCTCCTAATGAAGAAGTGCATACACAGACAAGATTCTTCCTGCGTGGATGTGTGAAATCTAAAATTAGCTAGTTATTGTGCCCTTTTATGAAGCAAAATGGCTCACTGAACTGTTTGCGTTTCATCGTTATGAAGCAACATTCAGTCCATGCAATTTTGGACACAATTTTCACTCTAGGTCATCCAAAAACAGTCTATGTGCTTTAGTAGAGGGGTAAGACTGCGTACATTCAACCCCCCCTTACCCCACCGTAGGTGGGAGCCTTTGCGGCACTGGGGTAATGATGATGTATGATTGTGCACTTTTATGTTCCATTTTAAAAAATTATTACTCCCTCCGTCCCGTTAAGATTGTCCCATTTTACTTTTTCGGGAAAGTCCCACTAAGATTGTCTCATACCATATTTGGTAAAGATTGTGTGATTCTAAATCATTCTAACTTTATTCTTACTTTATCAATTTAATATCAACCACACAAACATACTTTTCTTAATAATCGTGTCACCTTCTCCCGTCCCAATCTTAGTGGGACGGAGGTAGTACTTTATTACGAAATCTCAAACACGTTTTAATCTATTCTTTCATTGTTGGCAATTTTAGAGCCATTAGATCTCAAACCCGATCAACTAGATTCATTCTCATTTCTCATGTTTTTTTAACCAAACTCTTTATATACACTGTTGGTAATTACGAAAAGAAATGGGAATGGGGGGCTTTCAAACCAAGATGAAATTAGTGAACAAATTTTACTTTACCTTGTTGCAACCTGGGACAAGATCTTGAAGATATTTCATCCTTTGACTAATTTTCTCTCTCCTTACCTACAAAATGCATGCATATCAGTTTGTCGAATCCAAGAACACATAATACTTTGCATATACCATTCAATCACTTGCAAGAATTTGAATAATAAAAGCTTACTCTTTCTGCAAGACTATGGCTATTTGTTGCCTGTCCTCTCCTAGCCCGAACATGCATGTATTCTTCTTTAGAAGGATCTGAAGTGTGGGACCCCTGCTTGATGGCTTTCCTACCTTGCTTGGTGGGCGTTGAAACCAAATTTTGATCAATATCTAGTTGCATCACGGTCTGATCCTGGGTGACATCAGCATTCCATGGACGAATTCCATTGTTTTTCTCAAGTTCAGCCTGATGCATAACAAAGATGGAGAAGTTCTGTTTTCTCAATATCATCTTTACACTAATGGTTATCAAACATGCCACATACTGCAAGACTATGAGCAAGAGAAAGGTTCAAAAAAGGGTAAATGGGATGCGTCATCACTCTTCACAGAAAAATGAGGATAATCACTTCAGACCCTTCCCAATACCTTTCACTACACATTTCCCAGTCCCTAGCTTCACTTGGTCAGATATATTTGGTACGTTTTGTGTAACACTTGATGCACTAGTAGCATGACTATTATTTTAAAAAAGAGCTCAGAAAGAAAAAGTGCATAACAAACACTCAGTGGCTCTTTGTTAAGGCTTGAGGCTCAAATGGCAAAGTTTGCTGAATGTTATGAAAGGAGAAGTGTCTTGTAACATCTTTTAAAGCCAAGTAAATTAAGTCAAAAGCTACCTAGAACCTGTTTGGTAAGACTAAATTTGGCTGAATTAGCTGAAATGACTTAATTGGCTGAATTTCTGAATTATGAAAAAAAATTATAAAATAATGTAATAATAAATCAAAGAAAAAATTATATGGGCAGCAAAACTAAAATGCTCTTGAGCCAATTTACCGTTTTCGCAAAAAAAAAAAAGTTCCTTCGACATCATTTTTTCATTATTAATCAATCAAGCTCATGAAATAAAAAAACAATGTTTGGTAATAAAAAAACTCCAAAAAACAAGGCTACCGGACAGACAGTTCTTCTATTTTTCCTGAGAAACTTAGGGTATGCAGAATAGGCTTAGAATCGAGCTGTCAAATGCCAGAAGCAAGTTTTCATGAAGGCAATATAATACGATACCTGTCCACCTCGTTTCCTTTTCTTGGAAAAATCCACCTTTGAAGAAGACTCCCCGTCCGCCCCCTCTGATACCTCTTGATCACCACCATCACTACATTCCGGTTCATCACACTCATTCCCTAATCTGTCACCACATTCTTTTCTTTCAAACATATTCTCATTCGCTTTTTCATTCTTCAAGCCCTCCTTTGAACTTTCAGCCACAGCATACGGACTCATAGGATTTCGAGTTGGCATTAGACCCATAGCATAAGAGCTGGTAGGATCGTTTCCTCCACTGAAGCATGAAAACCTGCCTTCCCTTTGGATAAAATTAGAATCTGGAAACTGAGGTAAGCTTTGAGGAATCATCCCAGAAGCAGTAGGTACAAACATTCCCCTGCCTTTCAACACTGCATTTGGTTGAGTCCAAAACATACCTACATTTCCCGGTTCCTGAAGGAGATTAGAAGTACTGCTCGGAGGAACATTAGGATGCAAATTTGTTATACTCTGATCCCATGTTGGGTAAAAAGAAGTTTGCATTGGATTGGCAAGAATAGTACTGTTTAATAGCCACTCGGATTGCATATTATCTGAATGGAAGTTTAGGGCATCCCTGTTTCTATTTTCTGTGACTATCTCATCTTCTTGAACCATATCCACTACTTCGGGGGAAAGCTTCTATTTCTACAGCAGTAATAAACTTATTAAAACTTAAACCACATGAATATGGTGTCCCATTTCAAGAGGTAATACTGTAATACTACGGATAAGTTTGGATCCCATAAGACATTTGGGAACAGGGAAAATGCTAAGTAAAGTTATTTTGTTCTGTTGGTATTACCTGCGACAGAGGAAAAATAAAATATGATTAACATTTTCTAAGTTTTACCATGCTTAGATTTGTAATCTTTATATCATAATACTAATACTAATAATAATAAAAATAGATTAAATAAATTTGAGTTTGAACTAATGACCTATTGTCCCCATAATTTCTCAGATACTTTCCTCTACTGGAATATGTTTTTTTTTAAATTCATACGAAGTATATGATTAATATGATTATATTTCTTAGTCTTTATTTCATAATAAATGAAATATATAGAAAAATAAAAAGAATTCAATCGAATATAAAAGAATTTGAGTTTAAACGCATGTTTCATTTGCCTCGATTTCTTTACTTCTAAATTTCCCTTATTTTCTTCCATATTTACTTTCCCTAATATTTTCTTAAGTTCCAAAAGGACCCTAAAAATCAGCTAACTGGGAAACTTAATGGGGAAAAATCATATATGACCTCACCACTACTGCAATCTTAGTTATGCTTTATTTCGTCAGAAAAAAAATGCCTAATTGATATTCTTCAAGAAACACAGAATGTGCAAACAAGTTAGGTAAAAGAGCTTCCTTAGCTCAAAAGCAAATGTGGGAAATGCTCAAGTGCATATAAGTAATTCCAAGTACAAACACAGTGATAAAAATACCAAGAATAAAAAGCAAAAATACAAGGAAAAATAATTATAAAAAATATATAATGAACCTAGGGATCAAGGTTTGAGCTTTAAGGTTCCAGAGACTTTTGTTTCTCCTTAATAACACTATTTGGATGTCCAAGAAAACAGATTCCCAGCACTAATAAGCTAAAGAAAGTGTCCCGAAACAGATAAAAAAGCTATAATCAACTATAACTCAGAATAAAATGGAAAGCCTTAATAAGAGCAACTGCGAAAGGCAGAAGAAAAGATACCTCAGTTCAGATTTCTGAGACCTATTATAGGTAGGTGAAGCAGAAGAAAAATTGGTTCTTGGGGATATTAGATTCAAAAGTTAAAATAAAACTGCTGCTTTGTTATTTAAGAAAAAACAGAACCCCCTCCAAAAATGCTACTCCGTACAACGATTGGATGCAACTATATCAAAGTATAGCGGACAGAGAGAGAAGTGCATTTGAAGCGAGTCTGAAATATGCTTTCTTTATCTTTTATTTTTCTACTTAAATTAAAAAATGAAGAAAGCTTCGTCACAAAGACCCTTACCAGCATAACTGCATTTATATCCCAAGTTCCCAAAGAAATACTTTATGATTATATACCATTCTTTTTTCAAAAATACTAATAGTAGATCACATATTCTTTTCCAAAAAAATTAATGTAACATTTATCTTTGTATAACTAAAAGATGAAAGTAAAATATATAAAATGGCACGGAGAGATATAATATAACCACTTAAATATAAAATTAAACATAAATTACTATGATTAAAATGTAGGTTATTATTGTATATAGTGACTATATTTAAAAGGTACAGAGTAACATTTTTTTTACTTTTTGTAGAGCAAACTTATTTCAATTAAATATGTGTAACTTTTCAAGTAAATATTATGTACGGAGTAGCAATTTGGTACATAAATTTTCTCACTTCTTTTCTCTTTCATTGTCATCATCTTCCCATCTTCACAATATACTCTCATCCTTCTTTAACATCTTCCATCTCTGTTATCTTTTGTCATTTTTCACCTTAGCCATTAACATCTTCAAGATCATAAAGAATCACAAGAGATGTGGATGAATAATCTCGTTAGAATTATTATTTGTTATTTGTGAGATTTATTTATGTCAAAATTGATAAAATTATAAAAAGAAACATGAAAATCAGTGTTTGTGTACATACATATTTTTCTATGCCCTAACTTTAAGGAAAAAATTATAAGTCTTTTTAGTTATAATATTTTCACGGAAATCAATTATATCCACGTAGATTCATCTTAGAATTTCAGGAGGTCATGATTTAATTATTCCATTTTTTAATGCTAATAATCTTTATATTCTCATTTGTAACAAGAAGTGAAATTTAACACGGAGTAGTTATTTTATCAAGTATGTTTGTTGTTGTAGGCAGGAGGCCACATAGCGTTATTTATTTATTTATTTGGTGGTATGGTCAATTAGGCCTGGGAAGAGGTGCCAAAGATCTGCTTGGTCAAAGAAACCCATTCATAAAGCTTGTCTTCACACTTTGTTTAATGTCCATTGGATTTTTGTTCCTTGTACTCAGGCAGCCGAAAGGGAGATTACTCTATGTTTAATTCCAACATTTAATTTTCTTTTACTTATCCATTTTAAAATTTTGAATTTGTTTTTGTGAAAATAAGATATGGGTACTAATACACAATCAATAGCAGGCTGTTAATCTTAGTTCGGAAAATATCTTGTTGTCCTTGAAGAAAAACATTTTTCAAAACAATTCACTCACTTTTAAATTACTTAACTCATTTCATTCTTAGGAAAAGAAGTGACCTTTTTCCTTAATATTACTAAACAAAAGCTGATTTCCAAAATGTGATCACATTTGTATTTGAATAAAAACGTGACTATGATGATTATATATTTGGAATAATAAAAGTGACTACCAAATCTAATTTTCATTTCACAGTTGGATGTCACTTTTGTCGCCGCCCGTGTTACTGCCGCCAGGCACAATGACACATCCGTAGTGACAACTTTGCAATGACATTTCTGTAGTGACATCTCCGCTCCAACCTCCAATTACAGTGACATTTCCGCAGTGACATCTCCGTCGTCCGACCACCACCGCCGACGACCACAGTGACACGCCGTCTCCGGTGTGCCCAGCCCCATCCCTCCCTACTCCTCATAGCCCCCTCACACATCATCTCTGACCATCACTGTGGACTGCCGCCATCGACCGTCACCCTGGCTTGATTCCCCAACCCCTAGCCACCTCCTCAGCCCCCCTCTGGGGACCCCCGGCCACCTTCCAAGTTCCAATGCCCCAAGCCCCGAACCCCCCCCCCCCCACCCCAACTCCATGGCCTCAGTTTCATAATCAGCTCCCCATCCCCCATATAGACAGCTCCAAGTCATTTTTTTGTCCAGTCTTAAATTAGTCACATTTTTGTCTATTGAAACACTAGAAGTAATATTTAGGCTATTATTTCAAAAGAATTTACTCAATTCCCCCGCCCTTTACAACTTTGACATATTTTCTTTTTGATTATTTAAAAAACTTTACCACTTTCCCTTTGAAGCAATTAATTTTCACTTTTGTTGTTTATCTATACAAATATCAATCACACAGTTTTTACTGTATGGTACTATGGTTCAATGTGTCCGAAATGAAAAAGGAGTGTTTTAAATGATAAGAATTTTTTATTATTAAACACTTATATTGAATCACTTATATTAGGAGCAAACAATTAGAGAAAATAACATGACTGGATCACAGACAACTATTACATTAAATAATTAATAAATACATAAGAAATAATTATACCCACAAACACTAGCGCACACACGCAGAAATGCACTCAACCTGTCAACTCTTTGGTCAAACCAAAAAAATCCAACGGCCCATTGTTATTCATTAGTATCAACTACGGAGTATTTATATCAACCTCAATCTGATCGATTGGGCTCCTCTGCCGCACGGCAGAGTACCTTGCCGAAGGGGAGCCGTCCGATGAGGAAGAGGAAGCTTCGAGATGCGCACCCAGAGATTTCTGGCCGTTGAAGATTTGATCGGTCGGCTCAAAATGGCCGGGCACCGTGCTTTGCTCTAAAGCAAGGCAGACACTCCGGGTCCCAATCTGATACAATGTCAATTATAATAAATACAAAAAAAAAAACTGAATCTTTAACCACTTTTGGTCTAGATCTAAGTTCATCTAACACTAGAAATTTTCTGATTTCTCTTAGTAAGTTAGATTACATCCTCATTTGAACATACACGGCACCTAAACTCTATTGGGCACATTAATTCAATTGTAGACCAGAACTAGTCCCACAACTGTTTTAAATCGATTTCGATTCCAGCTCCTCCAAAAATGGCCTAGACAGAACCCGTTTTTAATAGGTGAAAAGCACCGGACCAAGACCTGGAACCCGAATAGACCGAGGAGTCGAGGATCGGACATGTACCTACTTTTCAGTCCTCCGTCAGACCATCACAGGTAAGCAACTCTTTTGTCACGGAGCAAGCCAGTACAGAACCGCACCAGGAGTACCCCTAGTTACAATTGGTCAATCACTCAGTTGTCTACGAAAACTAATTAATTAATTAAAGAAGAAATGAAGTAGAACACAGAATTCCTGAGTGATGCTGGCCAGAGCAAAATTTTGCATCAAACGATTGCCCAGAATTTTTTCCTACACAATAAGATGGCTTCTGTTTTCTTTGAGTGGTTATCTTCTTCTAGAAAATGTAACTGGGCATCCCAAAGGAACTTTGGAGCTAGATCTCTTATCCTACTCACAACAGATTCTTCATCTCTAATAATAATAAATCCCTGAAACATGAAAAGGAAAACATTTAAGATTAGTACTTGCAGCAGCTAGACGTGGAGTTTCTGGCACCAGACTTTGGAAATTCTTTATTGCACCTGTTAAAATGTGTCTGGCTAAGGAAAGAAATACAATGGGGAGGATATAGGGGGAATTTGGAACGAAAGAAAAACTTAGGAGAAAATAAAAATTGGTTCAAACTAAGTCAATTGTAAATACTCCGTATTAGTTAAGAAATCTAGAAATCTATTATTATACAGAGACCAAGAAATCTAAATGAATGTCAATATAAAAAGATCCAATCAAAACTGAATTTCCAATGTAAAAACAAACACACAAAAATTGATCCCTATGTTTCTTTCATTAACTTTTTCCGGTTCCAAACATAGCCTGAGAAATTACCTGAGGCCTTAGCATACGATCCATCTCCAGCATAATGTCTTCCATCAAACAACCTTCTTCGCGATTTCTATAGTGAGAAAAAAGATGATTGGCATGCAACAGATCATATGACCGTGGATATGTTGAAAATGGCTCACACCTAGGAGATCACGGAAAGAGTTGCATAATGAAAAAACATTAAGATGCTTATTTATTATCTTATAATTGTGAAAGTTCAAGAAATTCCAAGAATATGGGAACCAGCATACCAGTCATGAAAAGTGCCAACCAACCCACGGTCATAAATGGCAGACAGGGTATTGTTCATGCTTACAGGAACTACATTCATTACCCAGACTGGCCATGTGTTCAAAGCCACTGCAAATCCACCAAGGAAAGCACTCATGTCCATCACATTACGTATTTCTTTCTCTTCAACATTCATCAACCTCCAATAATGCCTAACTTGGTCTTGCCAGTAGATTGTGTCTGACAAGAACTTCTCATGATCCACACCTATTCACACATATAGTTGCATGTTAAGACATTGCTAACCCATACTAATCTTATTCACATCAACTCTCTACTTTACACCTATCATCACTTCCCATGAAATGTGCATGTAGTTGCATGTTAAGACATTGCTACCCGTACTAATCTTATTCATATTAAGTCTCTAAAATATACTTATCATCACTTTCCATGAAATAAAGTCCTTTCATAAACGGTATTCATCAATTCAAGACACAAAAGATATGTTGACCATGAATCAAGGACCTGAAAGATAGAACGTACCCGTTCAGGACTCGAATAATTGAGAACTCTCAATCTAAGGCCAAAAGTATAATAGTTTTTGATTTCTTGAACTATTTAATTATTTTTGATGATTTATTCTTCGCAAAAGTTTACTGGTTTAATAAAATTAAATAATATTTAACATATTCAAAATTAAAAAAATGAAATTCATGATATTTTTAATCTTAGATTGATAGTTTTCAATCATTGAAACCCTATATCAACAATTTTCAACTATCAGACCTTTGATTGGTAGTTAGACTATCTTTCAGGCATTGGATTGAAAAAAAAAACCTTTATAACTTGCAAGTATATTAATCACTATTAATTCTATAAAATAAAAAACAAGCCCCCTAAACCATCATGCCATTTTATTTTCATGATTAGTAAAATTAAAAAATGCCCCCAAAATCATCATCTTATATCATATTACTGTTGGCTCCCACCACCAAATATTCTCATTCATTATTTGTGTCTACCTTACACTTCTCATTGTTCTCAATCCTTTCCATGAAATAAGTGATTAATATTTT